AGTTGTGTAAAACTGAAGTCACATGCACAGATTTGTTGCCATTTCACCATCTAATGATAACTTGTTTTCCCAAGTTAAAATACATGGAGTCAAATTACCAATTTGACCCACAGCTATATAGAGAAGATATCACAAAATTACTGAATAATGCCAATTAATCTTTGGTCTCATTCTGTTGTATTCAAAGGAGTTATGTCAAAAATGAGTTCAACCAGATTTTCCTCTCAAAGCAGCTGATTTATTTCCATGTGGGACGAGCTTAGGCCAGAACAAAATGCTATCCACATACAAAACCCACCACTCTCAGTAAAGCTGACAGGTACTGCAGCCTTGTCTGACTTTCAGGGCTACAGCCTCCTCTGAGGGTGCATCTGTCATTCCAACAGGAGATATGCTCCCACCTTTGTGGTCACTTACATGCCACCCAGAGGTGCGTTTGACACAAGAGACGTACAATCAAGGAGCATTAAGACAAAAGTTCTGTCTGGTTGGTGTGGAAGTCAGTCTGCTCTAGGACAAAGTGCGTGCAGGTGTGGGTAGAGCTGGCAGAGAGGTGACGTTTGCCCTGTAACATTCAGGAACTCATGTGTCTGCAGGTGGTGAAATTATGGAGAAAACCAAAACCACACTGATCGTTATCAGTTTTTACTTACATCTAAATTGCATACCTACTGGGGTAAGGATGCAGTCTAACCTCATTAAATCCTTGAAGATGTATTTTTGTTTTAGGCATAACATTTTAATATGTAGCCATTTAATGAGTTCTGCACTAACATGTTTTAACAAATCTTTTGTCGCTTATTACATTCCATTCCCTTGGCGATAATTTCAAAATCTGACCATTAAAACAAGTCTCTCTTCACAACTCTTTGATAATAGCACTTAGAACTGAGCACTTCATCTTTTTGCATTTGAATTAGAATTGGAAAGGTGTAAATTACAAATCTGGCTTTTATGTGCTTTTATTGATCAGACGGCTTCGCAGGAACTGCAGCAGTTCTGGTAGTTTAGCACTGTAGATTACCTTTCAGCTTTCTTAATTGGGCCACTGTAGTAGAGTTAATTTTCAATTTATATTGAGAGTAAGACAAGGTGATGTAATACCTCATTATTGTACTTGAGTAACATCAACACTAAAACACCATGATGTACCTCGTTATTCTAAATACACAAGTTGCTTTTCAGAGCAAGAAGAGGTGAGTTCTGGCTTTATTCACTGTGTGTTTTAGGCCAAATTTTGTCTATAGTAATTCTTGTGTCTTCACTGACTTCCACTGAGACATGAGCTACAGAAAGCTAGTATAATTTGGTCAAGTGGGAAGTCTATTCAATATAGCAGTTGAGAGCATTCAACAGACTAATCACATGTGACCATCTCTTTGTGTGTTTACTGGCAGGTTAAAGTCATGGTGCGCATTTCTGCAGCGCTTGCCAGGGACACGTCTGAGTCCAACTCTTTCTTAAAAGTTGATCCTCGTAAGAAGCAAATCACGCTGTATGACCCGTTGGCCTGTGGGGGTCAGAATGTTTTCCAGAAAAGGGGCAACCAGGTTCCACCGAAGATGTTTGCTTTCGATGCAGTTTTCCCCCAAGATGCATCACAGGTAGGCAATGTATGATCAGATAGTTATCTAAACAATAGCGTGCACCAGAGCCAAATTTGTTTCTGCTGCAACAGTCGTTACTTTCAGTGGAGTTAGACCAGCATTGGCTGAATTTGGCCAATGTCATCCCTAATGAAATAAATGTATTAAATTTTATCTTGATGATTGTGTGGTTTCTTATTTTTAACTGTAAATAACTGCTCATAAAACTGTCCTCATAAAAATGTGCTAAATGGTGCCTAGGAGGCAAATCCTCAGTATTGTCAATTCTTTCTATGTTATAAAATCTTATTATTTGGTGTATACAGTGATCTGATCAGAACTGCAGTTCTCTAAAGGAGCCCTCTATTCATTAAGAAATCAAGGATTATTTGCACAGTTCTGCTGTACCATTTACAATAGGAGGATGGAGCTTTTCGTCCACAGATATTTATTCATGTGTATATATTAAGGGTTCTTGGTTTTATTAGACTTCTTTGGCTTAATGAACTATGTTACCCAAATGTCATGAGGAGGACAGTAGAAGAGTAAAATAATATTGCAAAGTATATTTAGAAAAAAATACTATAATGCTGTTTCTGTAGTCATAAAGAGAGATAGGACACAGGGCCAGCTACAACAATCAGTGTGTTGTACTTCTTAGATTACTGCTGCAGTCTTCAGGATGGAGCCTACCGCTGCAAAAAGCCAAGGAGATTCGTAATAACGTAAAGAAAAAATAATAAATGTTACCTAGCTAATACCAAAGAGACCATTTGTTCCCCTTACATTCTTTACCCACCTGCTAGTGGAATTTAACTCATTCCATAACTGGACAAAATATAGAGCCTATAAAAATTCCTCAATATTTGATTGGTTTGTAATCAAAAATGTATTTTTAAAGTCCCCTAAATAGGCAGTTCTAACAAACCAACCAGCTCCTATGTGTCTTTTGTTTAACACTGCAAAGGATGTTGATGCTTCAGTAAATGAAACTTACTTGACAAAGAGCTAAAGTCCTGCTTCATGTGCTTCCACAAGTCATGTCGTTCCCATCAACAGCATAGGTCATGTGAATGAGACAAGCAGGATTAGACTTTTGCTACTTCAAAACGCTATCTGGAGCACAGATCATATTACAACCATTTTCCAGTGAAAATACTCTATTTTCCTTATTGTTATTAACAGATTTCTTGTCTTTCTTTTTTTTTTTTAATACTGGTGACAGGCTGAAGTATGTGCTGGGACTGTGGCTGAGGTGATCCAGTCTGTGGTCAATGGGGCAGATGGCTGTGTGTTCTGCTTTGGCCATGCCAAGCTTGGTTGGTATTGTTAAATTTCCTTACTCAAGCAGCAAAGTGAATCTTTTTAAACCAAGATTGTTAGTACATGGCAAACAAACTTCCAGCTGCCTGTGCATAGTAAATATATTTGAAAGTGGTACGCTGTGCATGACCTTGTACTACACCTTCACCTCTGGCGTACACATCTATTCACTTTGCATATTGTCTGAATATTGGACAGCACGCTCTTTGAAACAGAAGTTAGCTTTGAGTTGTTGCTTCTTTCCATCACCCGAGTACTATTGCAAATTTTAGCACTGTCTTCAATTGTTAATGAATGATCCAACAGTGATATACTGTTTTACAAATGGGATATTGGAGACTGTTTGCCAAAATACCACTTTTATCAAGTTATGTAAAGGCTGTGAGTATCCACTCAAGTATTTGATGTTTGTGCTGGCATTATTCAAGTGCTGTGACTCAAATAGTTTGATTTATATTCTATCTCCCGATTGGACAATTCACTCATTACTGACCTCTTCCTAGTTTCTCTCCAACAAATCCTATTGGAATGGTTAAATGAATGTTATCCATGGATTGAAACTTGTTCTTTGCAAATACATCAACAGCATTTCAGGTGTTCATGGAAAGACAGTAAAAAGAAGAATCAGCGTAATTAACACTGTTCTACTGAAATAACTGGATTTCAAGAATAATCATATATTTTGTTCATGCTTATCCAATAGTATTTTGAAGATACTGTCTCTTTAATGAAGAGGGTTGTATTGTATGTGTGCAATGATCTCCATTCTTTACTGTCTCCAAGAAACACTGATGTACACATACAATTTAAAAGGAAATTAATTTTTTTTCAAATGATAAAGAAGATCAAGCTGTACCGGGCCATGATTATCACAAATTATAGGCAACAAAACCTGGAGAGTACAGAATGCTGTAATGCCACTAGCTCTAGCACAATGAAAGGTACAGGGCCACTGGATCAGCTAACCACAAGGCCTCTCTGGGCCAGACAGGAGTAACACTAGGATGAGCACTTGGATATTTAACCCCCTGTGACCTGCCAAACGTAAGATGAGAAATGAGACGGAAAGGCAAGCCACCAGGTAACGGTGTCTCACCGGTGCTACATATCCTCTAGAGAAGTGGCTCAGCTAGGGCTTTGCTGAAGCATGGGTCTAGTCTCTGCAGTTGCCTTGTTTACTGCACCACCACCATTCCACCAATTGTGGACACACCCAGTCCCTGCCACAGACCGTGCATAGAAGTATTTTCTTCTTTGATCTTTTTTCATATAGGTTCAACCTAAGAAATGATACAATGTAAAGAATTCACAAGTACTTTCCTGAAAGGCTTATATGTTTAGGAGCTTTAGAAAACTTGTGTAAGTACTCTGCGTCTGTTGTTAATCAGCAAACTTTTAAAGCAGAAACAAGCCAGAGCTATAATTGCAGAGTCAAATAATAGCAAACCAGCTAGACTTGCAAAGTCAAATAATAGCAAACCAGCAGAAGGTTTTGACCCAGGTAAAATATTTCTTGTTGTGGACCCATTTCTGTATCAAATGATCATGTGTACCTGGGGTTCTTTGTTTTGTTTCAGTTTGTTTCTGGATGAAGTTACATCTGCATGATCCTGGGACGAGATTTATCTTTTGTTGTCTTTTCTCCATTGCCCCATTCCTGACAGGAAAGTCATACACCATGATCGGGAAGGATGATTCCATGCAAAACCTTGGCATAATCCCGTGTGCCATCTCCTGGCTCTTCAAGCTGATTAATGAACGCAAAGAGAAGACAGGAGCCCGCTTCTCGGTCCGAATTTCTGCAGTGGAGGTGTGGGGGAAAGAAGAAAATCTGAGAGACCTGTTGTCAGAAGTGGCTACAGGCAGCCTGCAAGATGGCCAGTCCCCAGGTGTCTACCTTTGTGAAGACCCCATTTGTGGCATGCAGGTGAATCCAAGGTTCATTTTACACTGAAAAAAGTAATGTGACTTTTTTTTTTTTTAGTTATTGACATGGTTCAAATTCAAGAACTACCCAGAGCGTAAAGTTTATAGACTTGAAAGTGTTTACTTTAAAACATGCAAGAACTTTATGACCTGCAGCTGCAGGGCCATCTGCTCTCCTGGCCTAAATATTTGTAACTCTGGTATAACTGATGTTGAGCAGGGGCTTGTATTTGCAATAAAATGTGAAAACATTCAGTGCAAACAAAAATTCACCTCATTCTGGAACAGAAAAAAAAAAAAGAAAGTGTGAGTTCTCTTTTGTAAAATAACAAACTAAAATATTTACAGTACTCCACAAATAGCTGGAGGCCATTAATATGGCTGTTTATCTCTTTATAAACTACATTATTTATAGCACTTGCTTTAGCAATGTTGTAGGAAGCATTAATCGCTACTTATTAATTGCTGCCAAGAAATAAATGCCTGAGCTAGGCAAGCCAAGAATAACTCAAACTCTTCTCAGGTTTGGAGGCTTAACAGCAATGAGTAACTGGCTCATATATTTCCTGGGTAACCACCAGAAAGTCTCAGAAGCTCTAATCTTTCTTTTCCACTCTTGTTTTGAAGAAAAAATAAGGCCTGCTCTTTCATTTTCCTGTCTGTGAAGGTCAAAAATATGATTTTTGTTTGAGTAGATGAAGAGGGAGCAAACCAGCATGATGGAGGTTGAATACATTCTTTCAGCTTTAAAGGCAAAGGCTATTTCCATGGAGAACCTGCAGAGCACTGTCTCTCCAAGGATGAGGAATAGAGGCAGGAGGGACAGACCTACAGGATCATGTACCCTATTTTCAGCTCCGAGCATCTAAAAATCATGATTCACATCCACAAGAGTCATGAACTGTGAGATTTTAAAGAGCAAGTAATAAACTTTGTGTTTTATCTTTTTGTGGTTTGAGCCTTTTAGACATACATAGGTCATATTTTTCAATCTTTTCTATTCTACCCGAGGACTACAAAGTCACATCTTGATTTTGAATAACAATTAGGGTTCTCATTCTCACTTGACTCCTGGTTTTAGTACTTTATGACATACTTACAGTATCACAAGAGATCTCACCCTCTGGGATATCCAGTAATGGGTGCAGTCTCGTGAATATAAGATGGGAGACAAGTTTTCTGCGTTCCTGTTGGAATGATAGATGGGCCAGTTAAGATCTGAATTAGCATACATATGTTAGATATGTTACATGACTGTGTACCAACTAGTCTCTCCTTAGAGCTTAATACTTTACCAAGGTATTTAAGCACAATAGCATAATAATAAATATCCCAATGTTGTTGCTTATTTTCATATAGATACAGGCAGATTAGCTATATACAAAATGAATTATTTTAGATCAGTGGAGAAAAGGTAACTCTATGAGAAGTCTATGTATCTCTGTAGTGTAAAATACTGAATTCAACTGCAAGAAAAATGTGTGTTTACAAGACCTAGTAACATTCTGGAGGCACGTGTCCTACACCTGAATTCTCAAAACCCTCGGATGAAGGAAGAATATTATATTATAGCCACACAGATATGCAAAATCAGCAGTGTGTATAGAAAATTAATAATTGCCCTATGTCACACTGTCTGTTATTGGGCTTTTCCAAGTATGCACATTTTCTTATTGCTTACATTAGTGAGATCAGCCCACAGACTGGCCTGCCTTCTCCTTACCTTGTTAACTCCTTCCTGCCCTCCTCCTTTTTAATAGAGAAAGCTTCACCTTCAGCTGTGTCACCCCATCCCATGCACAGCCTTGCCTTTATCCCTCCTCAGGCTGATTAATGGTTATGAAGAGAAGACAGGAGCAGTGACTTAACTTCTAGCTGTATTACATAGCAGGGGAGCAAACCCTGAGGATGGGAGCTCCTCGCTGGTTTTACGCCAGACAAAACAAACCTATCCTATGGGCCGTGGGCCAGCGCTGCGTGCTGCCAAAAGCAGTGCCATCAGATTGCAGTCACGCGTCCCTTCCACAGGCAAACTAACCAGAGGTGGCATGAAACATGCATGCATTCCTAACATTAGGGGGGGGGTAATAATATCTACTCTCCTATGCTGTCGATCACTTTGAAGAGATAAGAGCAGGCTGATGACTGGGATTGAGGTCCAGCAAATGTGAGCGTACGTACATTACCTGCCTTTTTCCATTTAATGGATTGCTCTGGCTTGTGAGCAAGCGCATAAGCTTGTAGTGTGAAGGGGAGAGAAAAAAAGGTGTCTGTTCTGTGCTGCTTTCCACAAGGTATGGGGCTGAATACAATCTTAGGTCCTGTTATTTCCCAAATTTATATGTGGACTACTTCCTTCTAACCAATTCTGGAGATTAACACACAGTCCTGCCCCTTCCAGTCTCCACCAATTATGAGTTTGAGATTGATATATCTCCCACAATTTTTATTTTTTTTTTCTTTTGCTTCTAACCATCAGAAGGACGCATCAATTGTCAGAGGAAAAAAAGCAGTAAAAATAATGAAAAAAGTCAATAATTAGTAAACATAAATAGTTTACAATTCTGGGAAAGCGAAGGAACAAATTTATGCATCTGTGCAGCCATCTGGTTTCCAGTTGTTGGGGTTTATGTATAACAATTGCCTCCAGAGTACCCCAAGTGAGAACCCTCAAAAGCCTGGATTCAACCATGGGGCACACAAAGACCATGGTATTGCCACTGCCAGTGTCAGGAACGTGTCATTCTGTTGGGCGTCTACTCTTTTTTGGCCCCATCGGAAGCCAGGGTATCCTCAACGTACATTGACTGAGGGAAGCTGTCTGGCAGTGTTGACTTGCGTAGGAGTTTCTAGGTAATTTCTCCCTTGTGTTCACTGCAGCTTCAGAATCAGAGTGAGCTCCGTGCCCCTACGGCAGAGAAGGCTGCCTTCTTCCTCGACGCCGCTATCGCCTCGCGCCGCAGCAGCCAGCGGGACTGTGCCGAGGAGGATCACCGCAACTCCCACATGCTCTTCACTCTGCACATCTACCAGTACCGCATGGAGAAGAGCGGCAAAGGTGGAAGTAAGCTGCCCACTCACTCCCTTCTGTTTCCTCCACGCCTGCCTGGAAACAGGCTGTAAACAGCCCTTTGAACAATATTCTTTAGTCGTGAAAATTAGCAGAGATCTCCACTCAGCATTGGGCTGGGTCCATCCTTACCAGCAGACACGCTGGTCTTTAAAGACTTTAAAACACCCATTAAAGGCCATTGGGGCCTTTAGTCAATTTAATTGATGTTGTGGAGATACTAACAGTCTTCAGCACTGTGTGAACCTTGATATCTAAAAGGAAAAAGTGTTTTTCAAATTGACTTTTAGTATTATCTTTACTGATGGTGTTGAGGTCACAAATGAAAATATTATGGTGACGGGAATGCCTTGCCTCTCTTAAGTTACCTGTTCCTCTTTGGCACCTGAATAGGGTAGTGTACGTGGAAGCTCGTGTTGGCAATCCATAAACTGTACCTTTTCTTGCAGATGCTAATATTTTAGTTGCTGGCCCAACTATATGGTCACGAAGAACTCTCGTGGTTCTTTGTAAAGGTTCTGATGTTTTCAGATTGACTTGTTCCCTGTCTTTGCCATCAATGCTTTCACTGGGTGACATCTTTACTTCCACCTCCCACTTGTAAATGAGGAAAAGATGCTTGCATGTCTACTTAGATGTTTCTATAATTTCCAAAGTTTTCATTTGACTCACAATACTTATATATTTTTTTAATTATATTTATCTTTCATTTCAAATCTCCCGAGTTGTTTATAACTAGAGATATACATATGAGGTTTTTGTAGAAAGGTCCATTGATAAAAGATTTGTGCAATAGAAGAAGCACCCCTGGCTGAAAAAGAATTTCCACAATAGTAATTTTTTCCAGGGAAAATGTTTGTTTGAAAGACACCAGAGACCTCTGTTTCTTTAGATTTGTGGGATTAAGCAATTCTGCAGAAATAAGATATTTTTCAGCTCCTGGTTTTACATAGGTTATTTGTAATAAGGAATAGATTAAAAACCGTGATGTGTAAGTGGGTGAACACCACTGCAGTATTAATGTCTAATGTTTGAATGCAGAAAATTTACGTTGTCTGTGCTTATAAGAAAGAAAACCAAAAAGTTGCTCTAAATGTCAATGCAGTTTGCATGTGTTTAAATAATAACCCTTGCGGAATTGGCAGGCAGAAATCTCAATTAACCAAAGGTTTATTAATTAATTACCCTGTGGTGCAAAGGAAGACTGGATGCTCAGTCTGGTTCATAGGAATAAAGATGTCTGATTTGCAGGGAATTATTGTTACATTTATTTAATGATCCATGCTTTTGCTTCATGCAAGTACAGGTATACACACTCCTTTTCTACTATTTTAAAATGTAATTAATAAAAGGGGAAAAAAAATTTCCTGTGGCTATAATGACTAATTCTCAAATAGAGAAGACATGATCCCATTGGATTATAATATGGCATGCTTTGTCCACTGCCTTTAGTTATATCTTTGTCTTGTGGCCATCCCACCTCCTGTCTTCAAGTTCCCATATCTGAGTGGCCTCACAATCCAGGCAGGGTCAGATCTTGCTGATAATTGAATGAGGGGGGAATTCCAGCTGCTCAGAAAGGGCGCCTAGTTATTATCACTGTCTCCTGCTGTAATGAAGGACTTTTCAAAAAAAAAAAAAAAAAGTGAGGATAGTAGAGATATATAGATTCCAGTAACAGGATTAAAAAGGGATAGGGGGAAAAAAAAAAAATAAAGAGACCCAGCTTCTAAAGGATAAGAGATTAAAGGGCTGGCTAACATATGTTTTTGGTAAAAAATGACTGTTAGAATAACACATTGGTACTGTACTTACCTGCTTGTTAGATTCATTGCCAGGAATGTCATGAAGCAGGCTGAGCACCATTGAAATAAATGGCATTGTGGCAGAACTGGCACAGTAATTTTTCAACTGTCAGCTCTGCAAAGTCTCTGTGGCTATAGACAAAAACAAGTGTTAGGGTGTTCCACTTTTCTTCTCCATAGTTGCCAGGCACATTAGTGGAGAACTTACCTAACAAATAACTTCATTTTCAGATGAAGTAAGTTAAGTATGCCATCCTAAAAATGCCTTACTTTGGCCTGTAAGTTAAATAAGGAAAGTTCTGGTAGCTTCTCTTATTCTTCATTTCCTCAGTCCGTGTGATAAGTGTATGTGTGGAAACAATGTAACTGAGGTTTTGAAGGGTATGGATTTCTTTCATTTTCTTCCATTTCCCTGATGTCTGGTAATCGTAGCAACAGAAATATTTATTATGCATAATTAAGTGAAGTCACCTGCAGTCATTTTCAGTAGCAACTAAACACATTTCTCTGTTTTTAAGGAAACCATTGAGGGATATTCAAAAAAGGTAATTTCAGCCTTCTGAGGGTAGCAGTCTTAGAGGACTCAGGGGCTCTCAGGGGCTCCTAAATGTAACTTTAAGAGTTTTAAGAACTCTTAAAAGAGAGGCAAAAGTCCTGCATGAGTAGTTCAGAGGAGGTGAATGTTCAGCTGCCTGGATGGTTCCCCAAGGAAGCCTGACTTTCTCCAGTGAGTGCCAGAGCCCATAATGCATGTGGATACTTCCCCATTTGAAGCATCCCACCGCTTTCCACTACTGAGAGCACAGTGGTGATGCTTCTGTGGACAAGTTTAATGGGTTGTCATATAATCTGCAGACAGAGTTTTTGAATGTGTAGAGACCATTAGGATTAATCAGGCATTTATTTTTCACTTCTGTTTCTTGATACTCAAGATGACTTAACCAATATCACAGTATAATTTAATACACGGAAGTCCCATGTTACCTAATACCTAATGTAACTGAGGACCTAACAGGACTTAAAAGAAGCAGAAGTTACTATATTTTAACAACTGTGGACAGAGATGCTGGCTACATTTTTGGAATTTTTCTCAAATCCCTTAGTGTAAATCACTTTCATAGAAAAAGTCTCCTCTCTCCATTCTTGTCTCTTTCTTTTTGTTTTCCTCTCCTCTCCGTTCTCTTTATTCATGTTTCATTTTTATTTTATCAGAAAAATATACTCCTAGTTTTATTGTTAACTTTAATTAGCTGTCACCTACAACTAAAACAGAATTATAGATTTATATATAACACATTCTACAGAAAGGCCTTGTATTTGTATGAAGTTTTGTGTCATTGAGGACACCAGGTAGTATGACTAAGCAGTGAGCTCTGTTTCGTGGTGCTTGCAGAAGGAAATATCTCTCCTTGTTTTTTTTCAGTGTGGGCTTACATCTTAAATTATAGCTGATCATTATATATACCATTACCTGTATGTTTTCTGTATTTATGTAAATTTTTTATGGTAGACTTCCTTTCTGTGAGCAAATCTGCAAAATTATATGATTGAGTAGTACCTTTTTCTTTTTTTGTCAATATTTCAAAGTTTTACATGTGTCTTCTTCACATCTGTATGTAAACTTATTTCCTTCTACGTCCTATGGCACTTATATGCCTGTATACCATGGCATGATACCACAGCTACAGAATACATAGTCATTGAAGAAACATGCTTGTGATTGGTAAGATATTTCAAAAACAATGAAATTTATCTGGAAACTTCTTTTCTTAGTTCCCCACCATATAGTTGCACCCACCCACTATATTTGCTTGTGAACTGGTCTCCCCTCACTGCTAATGGGCTTTTTTACCGGATGCATAAATTGAGGTGGTGTGTCAAAGTGCCTGTGAATTTATTTGCATAGAGGTAAACTCAGATGTGAAAGTATTTCTCCTCCTCTTTAGGTTATGTTTGTGTCCTCAAATACTGCTCTTAGCTTTTGAGTTAAGATCCTAGAAATAAAACTGCCTTTTCCCACAGATTGCTTCTAAACTAACTTGAGAATAGGGAAGAGCAAGGAGCAGTCAAAGATCAGATGCAAAAAAAACCTAGCTAGGAAATTATCTTGAGATAGTAGAATTAGAAGGACTTCTGTAAAGTCTGCATAGTCCCTATCCTGGGTTCATAAGGAACCATAGGTTTTTAAACAAAGCAAGTATCTGTTAATTTTGGTGTTACAATGGTAGCATCTTTTCACTTTAAACGCAGCATGTGGATACAGAGTAAGAAAAATCAAAACAAGAAAGCCAAACCCTATGGGGATCCACTGCCAGTTTCACAGAAACTATTTTCAGAACCGAACAGCTTGCCCACGACCCATTATCCGTGGCATGGCAAACCTGTTCTTGGCTGAAATGATAATGACTTATAGTCATATGTAGCCAGTATATAGCCTTAAAGTAAGTTGAACATCTCACAGATGCCACAGGTTATTCTGAAGATCGAGTATTCAAGATGGGAAAGGTAAGAGAAGGTATCACAGGATCACAGCTTATCAATTAGCAATTCCCAGCCTGTAGTTTTATGGACAGAGGATCTGTAATGATAGAGACAGAAACAGAGCCAACTCAGGCACACAGTAATTGAAATGTACTTTTTAAAAATACGTAAATAAAGCACAACTCTCAGAGAATTAAATCTATGGGAGCAGATGAGTACTGAAAGCCTCAGCAAATTTTAAGGAAGTCTGGAGTGGACAGCAATGGACAGCAATAAAGGCTGACAGTGATTTAACAGGACCTTTACAGTTTGTTCCTGATAACAGGAATTAGTGTGGGGTGTGATGGATTAGAGTTGTGCCCTAGGCTGTGGAGCAAGAGTCTGGACAATTATGAAGGCTGAAGCAAGAGCACAGAACTGGTGATTGGCCGACCCTGGGACAGTCTAATGTGCTGACGGGGTAAGGAGGTAGGGAGGGGAACTTGCTCTGTTTGGTCAGTATGTAATTCTGCTCTTTGGGGGGAGTGAGGGACCAATGGAGAGCCAACATGAGGGTCCAGAAGATCAATGAAGATTTACCATGACTTGCTTTTAAAAGTATATAAGCCACTTGTGTGTGATGAATAAACGTCTCAACTTCGCTCCTGAACTGGGTCCATGTCATCAGTTGCCATAAATTAGGAAAGGTTTCTGAATTGTTTCCTCTCCTCAACATCTTTTGCTTTCCTGGGAAGCTGCTTTTGGAAGCCCATGCTAAGAGTTTGCTTTCTTTGTTTGTGGCAGTGTCTGGAGGGCGCAGCCGCTTGCACCTTATCGACTTGGGTAGCTGCGTGAAAGTGCTCAGCAAAAACCGGGAGGGAAGCTCCGGCCTCTGTCTGTCATTGTCAGCACTGGGCAATGTCATCCTCGCCCTCGTCAACGGAAGCAAGCACATCCCCTACAAGTAAGTGCTATTCTGTGTTGCACCTAACGAGAGGTTGCTTGCAAGCAGTTTGCCTTTTTGGGCCTAAGGCAGACTTGGGGTGAGCAGAGAGCCTGGGGTCGGTGCAGGCCCCGGTGGGGTATGGCGAAACCTGCCCAAGGTTCAGCGACGCCTGATCTAACCTTGCATCTGGTAGGTACACTGTTTGTGAATTTAGATTTCAAAGGAAGAAGCCTGGTGAAATAGGACACAGGTTTCTTAAAGATCTTAAGGTTCAAAGTTCAGCACATTGAGATTTTGTTTGCTGGGACTGCTCAATATTTTTTTTAATGTTTAAAAGCATTTGAGAGCCAATTCTGTATTTGCTCCGCAGTGACAAATTTTGCTGCCTTAATGCACTGTTACAGAGAAAATTATTTTCCTGTCCCTTGGGTGGAATTTAGATTTTTAAAAATATATGTCACAGTGAGCATGCATGATTGTCATGGGATTCTTTCTGTGATCCAAGATTACTTTGCATTTTATTTTGTATGGTTTGAACCTCAATGTCAGCCTTTCACTTCCAAAAAATCAGTAAGCCTTATTTGTCACAGTAGGCAAGTGGCCTTTGCTACTGCAGGTAGCTTCTGGAAAATTGGAGGAATTGCTCACGTAGTGGATATGTTTTGTACTCATTTCTCTTCATCATTGTCTCACCCCATTTGTCATGTGTGCAGGTCTGAAAGCAAGTTTGAATTCATTACCCAACCCGAACAGTCATAGCCTTCCTATTGAGAAGTTTCCAGTTTTGTGGACAGTATTGCTTTTCTCTAGTCTAAAGGCTAGGGAGTAGCAACCAGCATTACAGGAATGACTCACTGAAGTATCTTCTACTTGAATTGCTAATGAATGTCACCATTCATGAAGGACATGTAGAGGAGATCAGGATGACATGAAAAATGAACCAAGTAATTCACAGAGCGTATCTCAGTCCATATGTTTTACCCGTTTTGTAATTTTAAGGGCTACAGACGTGATTATTTTCGTGTGTTCATTCAAGATTGCAGGGTATTGACAAACTTTGCTTTGGTTTTGTCTTCATTACGGAAAATAAAGATGAATTGAATTTAGTTATAATTCTATTTGTCTTCTAACATTTATCTTCCAAAAGTATTTGACAGTCTGGGCTTAAAACATGCTCTCTGGAAATGTTCTTGGAATTCAGTCAGACTGGAATTCAGTTGAGGACCAAACAAATTTGTATGTATAAACATACGTGAAATGTTTGTGGATCATGCACCCAGTTGTAGTGTGAAAATAGCTTGAACTCTGCACTTCACAAAGTATAGCACAAATGGTGTTTATCAAAACCCTGTCTTCCTT